GTGTTTTCCAGAACACAAGAAACCTTTCCATTTCACAATTACATGACAGCATATTACTCACAAGACCTCTATCTAATGCAAGGATTGTTTTTTTTCACAAGATTACTTGAGTGATTCAGAGTGGGAGCCAAGGATTTATGTTTCCAACCCAAGCACAGTCATCCAGCCAAGGGCAAAGGAGAGCATGCATGAAAGAGAAGCATTTGATAAAGGACGTGGTATGATAACAACAACAAATTGCATTTATATGGTGCCTTTCACATCCCAAGGTGACCCAAGATACGGTTGAAAAGGAATGTCTTAAGATGGGCTTAGAAGGATGCAAGGAAGAGGCCATGGCAGAGGGGCTCCTGGATGGCGTTCCAAAGGGACAGAATAGAAAGGCTAAAGGCCCAACCGCTGATAGTGGAGCAGGCAGGGGGGGTAAGTGGAGCAAGCCAGTGCTGCAGAGTGGAGGGAGTGGCGGACAGGTTGGTGTAGTTTTATAGGTTACAGAGGTAGGGAGGAGCAAGACCATGGAGGGCTTTAAAGGTGAGGTCTAGGATCTTGAAGTCAATCCTATGGGAGAACCAGTGAGGCCGGGCAAGGAAGAGAGTGAATGGTTGAAGCTAAGTGATAACAAAAGGGTGGAAGAGGAAGCGAGAGAGAGGATGCCTTGATGTTAAGATCTCCATTTGCAGGCCTCGCTTCTCATCATCTTAGTGGGGGGGGGGGGGTTGGGATGGGGGAGAGTTAACTGCGCCATCTTCATTTCTTAACCACAAGTTGAAACAAAGTGTCAACTCTGACACCAGAGTCTGTCTGAAAATTCCTCTGCTGGCACAAAGGAGCTCTTTATCAGGTTGATTTCAATAAGTGTTGTTTCGCACCTTCAAATGATGAGCTGCCAAGCTGCTGCAAAGCAATCAAAGTGCATTGATAAGCATTATTTCCCCCATGATCTTTAAACTCAACTCTTCTCATAGGTAATGCAGGTGGCTGCCTTATAATCCTTTACATTACAGGCCCATTATAATGCTTTGTGTGGGATTCATAAAACTGGTTTGACTGCATGTGTGCACAGTGGTGGACTGGCTCCATGAAAGCGCTCAGGATTCTGAGGTTGAATAAGGGTGGCAGTTCCTGGGAATCGCTTGGGAGCAAATCATAAGGGGCTCTTGGAAAATGTCCTAAATACCCACTTGTTGGTGAGCATGGAGCACTGGCTGGTCCTTGCATTAAAAGTAAAAATAGGCAACTTCCGGAACAATGGGTCAATGCATCATCACTTCCTGTTTGCTAATCTTGTGCAAAGCATGAAGCAATGGTGGCAGCAACTGAATGACGCGGAAATCAGCTTTTTTTTTAAATATGGGAAGTTAAAATGGTCAACTTTGGGGTCCTTAGATTGGTATTGACATCACTAAGTGTTTTGTGCAGCAAAGCAAGATGCAATACCAATACAAATGGTCTAGAAGTCAACCATTTTAACGCAAGAAGCCATAAGCACACAGTAAATTAGTGGGGTGCCTACATACATGAGCAATGAACAGAGGCTATAGTGCAACAGCATTATAAGTGAATTCGGCTGCAGTGATGTGCATTCTGCCCAAATTAACAACAGCAGCAAATTTAATTTACAAGTTTAACTTCCGTCACATTGCCAGACTTCCAACCGTATCAAGACACTGACCCAACTGAGGGGCGCTATATAAATGCAAGTTGTTGTTGATACCTAATACTACGTGCTCCCGGGACAATTAAAATGTTAGTGAAGGAGGGCAATTGGTCAAAGATAAATAATGAAGGTTGTAGGACTAGAAATTATAGATATTTGCTTAATATGCCAAAAGAAATACACAGGCACTACACTTTCCATGAAGCGCTTTGAGATGTCCACTTATCATGAACGACACTACATTAAATACGAGGATTATTATTATTTCTGAAAGGAACAAGAAACTTAGCAGAACTGTTCCTTGGGAAAAATAATGAATTTGGTAGAATTTGTTGTTGGGAGTAGATTGTACACGGTCTATGAAAGAAACAGGCTTGAGAGGCCAATAAGTTTCTTCTTTTCTGGGCTTTCTTGAAAATCTTATTTTAAAACTAACCCTGATATTCAGACTGTTCTAAATTCAATCTACTGCCTTCCAAAGCAAATCAGTGTCTAAAATCAAGTAAATAAATATTCAATCCATCAACCATGGTAGATGTGCTTAGTTTCCACCCAAAGGAAGAAGACTGCCAAGAGACTCCTTTATGTCACAATTTTAGAAATATAAAATTTTTCATGAAGTTTTGATTAAGGATCCAAAAGGCATTCATGTCTTGGAACATACTTTGTCCAACAGATTTTCTATTCATAATTTATGTCCCAGAAGATTTAAAGCTTTCGATTTCATATGAACAGACCAAACAAGTAGCTTCTGTTCATCAAATAAGCTTTTGGACTCTTTGGAAAACTCCCCTCCAGGGAAAGGCCACGTAATGCAACACTTTACCAGAAGGTCCATGGATTACTGTGTCATTGAGGTTACCTGTTTTTTCTCCAAAATAATCCTATCCTTGGGCAAATCCAGAAGGGAAATTTTGTGTCCTTCAATTCACGACTCCTCCAACACAGTGAGAATCGTTATGAGAACACTGCAATATCCATCCAGGGTGGAATGTACCCACTGACCGCAGAATCAAGTGTTCCCTGATACCACCCCAAACACAAACTGTTCATTTGTTTGTGACAGTCGTCATCCTAAAGCAATCAATCCTTTTCTGCAACAGAACCATTCATATTAACTTCTCATTTTTTTCTTTCATCTTTAGAAGATAAGAATAATTTTTGAAAACTTTCTCGGAATTCAAATGTCTTTTTTATGTGGATATTTAAAGGGGGAATAAAATCTATCTGTGAGACACAAATCTCTGTGAGAAAATTGCCAAAGTTTTCAATCTGTAATAATATCTACATTTAAATTCACCAAATTGAGTTAGCTCACAGAGGTCCTAGGTTACCTCAGGATATTAAACAAAGATATAAAAAATATTAAACAAACAATTTGCTATGTATCCACAAGCTATAAAACTTTATACAGTACCTCTCATTCCAAATTAGTGGATTTTCACTCCTAGGTTGGGGATACAACTCTAAGGAGTCGAAGGAAATTGCTTTCCTTTCCTATTGTAGCTCACTGAGGTTTGGTCCCAAGGTTGACCAAACATGAAGATCTTACAGTTTTGTTGCCAAAAAACACAATTGAACAATTTATTTCCATCCTTTCCAAAAAGTGGTTTGCTACTCATAAAATGCAATGTGGTACAAGCTTCGCACATGGGGCCCTTACAGTTAGCAGGAAGTTCTTCTGTCAAGGCTGGATTCAATACCAGATCCCAGAAAGGTCAGTGGTAAACCAATATGTCTTCCGGTCCCAATTTTCCTCAATGTTTGAAATGGAGTTACAGTAAAAATCACATAAGTCTTATCTTTATAAATCGTATAATCGCCTAACTCATCCATCCATCCAAGTTTCATTCAGTTTCCTATCAAAACCATTTAGCTTTCTTTGGACCAGTCATATTAACCATCTCCTAACTCATAACACTGCTCCCCTATCCTCCATTATTCCCTCTCTTAACAGCTGCTTGAATCGCAGGAAATTATGTCTTGACTCGTCGACTAATGTGCACTTCCTGACTGGCTGCATTGAATTGCGAGAAGCGTAGTCTTGATCCATCGGCTCATGCGCAGAACTTCATTTCCCGCGATTCAAAGTGATTCCAAGGCTTACCAGTAAATGCGCATGTGGGACACTCTGAGACGCTACCCTGCTTGGAGGGCGCTATATAAGTGCATGTTTTTGTTGTATGTGGCGACAGGTCAAGTCACATTGAATCGCATGAAATGTAGTGTTACCTGTCACCGCTGGCGCATTTACCAGCTGCAGTGACAAACTACCACTTGTGCACTTACCAGCTGCATTGAATTACACAATTGCGCAGTGTAGATTATTGATTAAATCAGATTTTATACAATTTATAAAACTTCACCTGCAACTCGGACTTTGCATAATTCATATTAAATTTCATGGTCCTGACTTCTGTGTCTTTTACTGTATCTGGAAAAATCCAATTAATCTCACGTCTTCAATCTCATACAGTAATTTGTTTTAATTCTACATCTCTCAAAATGCACAAGTAATTAAAAGATGGATAACAAAAAAAAACCTCAATAGGGTGCTGTAGTTAATAATATTTACAGTATTGACAATGGGCTCTAAAGCATGGTTGTAAAAGCATTTGCCTACACAGCAGGTACAAATATCCAGTTTGAAGTGCAATGCAGAACAAACACTTTCAACATTTTCCATTTGTTAACCTCTAGCCAGCCATTGAGCTATTATTTCAGTTATTCTGTGACATAAAGCTAACATTTGGAGTGCAACAGTGGCAATTGTTTCTAAATCCAGTTACAGTGTTCTTCAACTAACCACAGATTAATACATTATGCTTCAGGCTGCAACCAGTACTTGCGAGTAGAAAACCATTATAAAAGATGCTTGCTTTGTGACTGGGGATTTGTATGGTCTGTGGGCCATATGTTGTTTCATAGCATGCATTATATTTCAGAATGACTGACAAACAATGCTTTCATTCTTTCACCAAGATACAGATCTACTGACCAATTCCCATTAATTCCCAGGTCTCCAACCTGCTGCTTATGACAGTACTGATAGTTGACAAATGTGTATTTTAATACTGGTACAAGGCCAGCAATTGCTTGTTTATTCACCTGTACTCACCTTTCCATTTGCGTAACAGACAGTCCAAGGTCCCTCAACACTCCAGGTCTTGACGTAAAATCAACAGTCAGAGCACACTCATGATTCTATTCTGTGTTCTTCATTTGATTATTGTAATGAAGCAAAGCTGCTCAGTCTTATTTAATGTACTCAATGCAGTGTTCGGATCACCAGCCACTTGTCAATGACGTTACAATAAAAAAAGTCACAGAGGGATGTACTTACCAGTTCATAGTTGACTGGTGGCAAACAAGGCGTCACCACCTGGAAAGAAAAACATATAAACAGAGTTGATGACAGAGCTTCGAAAAAGTTAAGGAAAGAATAAAAAAAATCATAATCTCTGAAGTTACACACTTCCACACACCCGAAAACAAAGTCACTTTCTTAGATTCACATTTGACCGTGAAGAAGACCGAGTCATAACAACTGTTTCCAAAGCAGGAGGTATTTTTTTCTAGGAAAATATTAACTAGCTTGCAAGCAGCACATTCCTGGAACACACTCCCCTCACCCCCCCCCCCCCCCCCCACCACACACACACACACACTTCCTGATAAAAACACATTGTGTAACTAAGCAAGTGCAAAGTAACAGTGTAAATACACACCACTGCGAGATTGTAATGGAGTGGTTCCAAATTATTATATCTGTGTCCCTCTGTCCAAAACACAGTCTTCCACCAAGTATATAGTTTGTCTAACATGCACACATCCATTTTAGTCACTGATTTATCCAGGAGGAACACCAATTTGTCCAAGAGGAAAAAAGGTTTTGCTGCATGTTTGAAAGGTGCAGTGTGTATGAATAAACAAGTGCTTACCGACAGACAATTAGCCCACTTAATTAATTACATAACACAATCTGTTATCACTAGAGATTTTCACTTAAGTATTAAGCTGATGCACTACCTTCCTTGCGCATCTGCTTGCCTGCTTCACCTTAAACTTTTCAATCATTTTTCTCATGGACGGTTTCAAAGTAGAGGTCACTGAATTGTTACAGTCCTTACGATTTGTGCAAGGCTTGGTTTCATTTTAATACTTTTGAGATGACAGTACATTCTTCATTCGTGATTATGATTCCATTTCACAATAAGTAGTGGAAATTATATTTGCTGTAGCTAATATGCCAAAATGCACCATCCCTTTTAATCTAGAAGAGGCTGAGACAAAAATCACTTTATTTGGGGAAGAAATCTCAGTGGTAAACTCAGTAATTCCACCTCAGGGTTCAGAGTGTGCTGTCACACACTGGCTCTGAGAACTCTTTAATTGATTTCAGTTTGCAACTTAACCCCAGGTATTCATTATTCTATACGTATTGCACAGGACAAGCTCTCTCTGAGCAAACCAGGCCCAGTGGGTCACTGGGTTTCTTAAATGAACTGCAATTTTTAAAACAAGAGGTCCTTTATAAGCAGAAATATTTTGGAAACTTTAGAAATCTCATGAATGCATTTATTTTCAACACGGCTGTGGTGCCATTCTGCAGTTTGAGTTTAACAATTATACCCTCAAAACAAACCACGTTAAATTGGATCAGAGCCAGAACTCCCGAGGCCTGAGAAATACATGCAACGCCATACACACACGCATGCACACTTTACACAGCGATATACACTCAGAAACGCATAAGCACAATCACACAAAGCACAGAGCCAAACATGAGCACGCAGGAAGTAACACAAGCACGCTCTAGAGTACACCCACACACTCACACAGAGGTAAGTTAGACAGACCAATGGTCTAGTCTTGGCTGCATCTGTCATGTTACAGACACTCAGACCAACACAGGCTGGGAACTCATCTTTTCTTCTCATCTGACAAAATTCATTTCCAAATACTTTCACAACCTCACTTGTGGTCCACATATATACAGCTAACTGTAAATCAAAGCATTTTGAAATCTAAGCAGTCCCAGACTTGTTAGAAATGGCTTTCATTCAGCTCCAAACTGACTCCATCATCTACTGCCTCTCACAAGCTAAAGTTCTGTGTAATCAAACAACAACTCTGGTACAGACTCTGCACTCAGCAAACACTGAAAATAATTTTCCAACAACCCAAGCAGACAAAGATGGCAATCAATACCAACTCCATCTGGATGATTCATTTGATGGGCTTCAGCTGTGCAGTCCCAGATTTCACTAAAAAGATACTTGTACATTTGAATCTAAAGACATAGATATTATTTATTATTATTAAAGACACAGTGGTGAAAAATGCCACAAACTAAAAAATTATCAAATGTAGCATTTTTGCATTCTAAAATTTCAAAATAACCATCAAACCAGATGTGTTACACAAGATTACAGAGGGAAGAAGAGCTTTCTTCCAAAATTCTTTAAATCCAAAATGTTACTTTCATATTCCTTTCAACACTGCCAAATCCTTGCTATCCATTTAGGGCACAAACACATCGTGGTCTGAAGTAGAGAGCACTGTGAAGGAGGAGACACATGAGAACTATGCACCACTTTGTGCCACCACTCTATTTTCCAAACATGCTGGCTCAGTGCAGAAGTCACTTGTTAACATAAAAAATAAAATGTGCAAAAAACACAAACGCCAATGAATTAAGGTCACCCAAAAATATTTACTCACCTGCTCCAACGTATGTGTACCTGAGTTGGAGGCAGCTGTAACTGTATTTGGAGACTGCATTTGCGACTCAATCTAAAATGGATTGCACAAAGATTTGCTGCTACAGATGGAGCTTGAAGTCACTCAGAGGTCAAGAGGTAGTGTATTGAGGGGCATTTGGGTGAAGAGAATTTGTACTGAACTCTCATATCTTATAGACAATTATCTTCATAAAGAACAATTGGTGAAATTATAACCCAGGCTGTTATTATCAACAAGAAAGAACAAGCTTAGAATGTTTCTTTACACACAGTAGTTTCTGAATGAAATATTAACCGTACATTCTGTAACGTAACTTGAGTCAATGTTGCTCGAGTTTAACTTCCTCTCAAAATAGTTTTATCCAGGCAACACTTTTTTACATTAGCAAAGCAACATCTGGAAACTATAAATCAATTTCCTGTGTTGGCTTATCATCAAAACGTTACTTGTTCACTCCCACCAATTGTGAGAAAAGACTTTTGTCAACTTGCTGGGAGATGCCCTGGTTGTACACAGAACTACTTTCAGTTTAGGACTCACGCCTAGCTTTGATAGGAATTGGGTGTAAATACAAATCATTCATTCAAGATTTCCAGCGAAGGTGCAGTTGCTATCAAAAAGATCAATAATTTGACATGTGCCTTTCATGTCAGGAGGTTGTCTTAAAGCTTGACACCAGATATACTGTAAAGTGTTGTGACTGTGGCAGCCAATTTACCGTATATGAATTTATATTAGACCACTCTTCTATTTGGTAATTGGATTCCTTAGAAGGGAGAAGAGCCTCAAAATCAAAAACAAGTTAAAACTGAGGTCAGGAAACATTTCTACATATAAAGGGTTTCCCAAGAAAGTTGTGGAGCTTCCCTAAACAAAATAGGGATGTTTAAATGAGTGAGACAGATACTTGGGCTGTTATGGGAAGTGGGGGGGCTGGGTATGGTGCACTGGAATTAAAAGATCTGCCAAAATCTGATAAACTGGTGAAACAGGATTGTTTTCCTGTTTCTGTTTTTCCTACGTCCAACGATCTTCATGGACAATAAACATCTCAAAGAACTTCGCAGAGATGATAGGGGCACCAAGGAAGGAGGAGAGGAAGTAGAATATAGAGGTGAGAGCAAACTCACAGGACAACAACCAAGTTTGTCAAACAATTAGATTAGAAAGAGAGTTTTAGAAACAAGTCAAGAGACATCAAAAGACCTTACTTGAATAACTGAACAAGAGCTCCCTCTGCTGTTCTGTTTTATTCTAGGTCTAGGACTTGGGCAACTTATTATTCATTATTTTTGACTACAACAAAGAAAAAGTCATCCTCTACTCCACTTGGCAACTAACACAAAGAGTTTGTGATTTAGACTGATATCAAGCACAACGAGAAATAAAGAGAAATGCTGAACTGCGGCAGTAGTTAAAAAGATCCTCTAACTCTCGCCATCACAGTCAAAAATTTACAAATTATATTTTGAATGTATGCATTAACTGGTCAATTTTACTGTGAAACAAACAACTCCATAAAAGGTTGACGAGCATTAGTCTCACAAGGTTTTTTTTCCAAAGGCAGAAATAAACTAATGTGCTTATGACCTTCAAGATATTGCCAGCTACAGATTACAATCTTCTAATAGTACAGTACATTAAAGCAGAAATATCCACACAGCATTAATGCAGCTCAGCTATACAGTATTAAGCTTTGTCAAATACACCAACAGTACCAGAGGAAAGCAATTTTATTTATATTCAGGGGTATTCTGATAATAAGTGAAATGTTATAGTTGTTTAATAATAATAATAATCCTTGCATTTGATATAGCGCTTTTCACGTCGGGAGGACGTCCCAAAGCGCTTCACAGAACACACTGTAAAGTGAATTGACTGTATATTTGTGGGCAAACTGTGTTTGTTCACAGTTTGCATTAAAAAGATTCAATGCAGTCCCAATGTTTCACAATTGTGTAAATATGCAAGCTTTTCTTAAAATATATATTCTTTAAAAGAAATGCAGCTGCAATTAGCACAAAACCTGAATGCAGGAGTTGGGATTAATTTTACCTCAATTTGGAAAGGGGGAAATGCTTTTGTAGATTAGAAAGAGGTCTGTTGACAATCAGAAGATGGAAAAGATTGGAGTTCAGGGTGAAGGGGAAACGGAACAGACTTAAAAATAAGGGAAATTAATCATATTAAAACACAAAAAAATCAAAGAGAAACATAGATAGCAAGAGCAGTCAACCAGACTGGGAGATTAAGGAGGTAAGACTAAAACTACATATGTAGACATAGATGCCAAAAGCACTCAAAATAAACTGATGGTATAAGATCCACAGACAGGAATAATAATAATAATCTTTACATTTGATATAGCGCCTTATCACGACATTGAGACATCTCAAAGCGCTTCAACGGAAGGAGCAAACGGAGGCCAAGATGCCTACCAAAATGATTCCCGGGAGCAATCTTCTGCTCCACTTACTGCACAAGGTATACCAACACGTTTCTCCTGGTATTGTCCATTTTTTTCTCCTTGGAGAAAGGAAAAACAGAGAAAAACAAGGAAATCCTAATTCAAAAGAAGAAAGGATTTACCGAGAAAATTTCCCCCCAACTCCCAGAGTCAGTTAAACGAGCTCTAGA